AGATAGATTTGAACAAGTACGATTGTTGATCTTTACCAGATATATATATATATATATATATTTTTTTGAAAGCTTATCAAAGAATCGTAGTAGTAGAAAGAGAAGAAGTTGAAGAGGAAGAAGAAGAAGAAGAAGCTTAAAAACTATACCGACAGGTAAAAAGTTCTTGTTGAACAAGTTGGTTAAAGCAAGTCGTGTACTACGTTCATACAATATCGACCGAACGAACGAACGACGACGAGCAGCCAACTTGGTGAGAAGCTAAGACGTTGCTGCCGACAACAGAAAAGGCAAGAGTAAGCGAAAAGGGAAGACAGAGAGTCACTTAGTGAGAAGAGAGCAAAGGGAGAGATAGAAAGAGAGAGAGAGGATAGGCGCGTGTCTTGAGATAGCAAAGAGACAAGAACAGGGCCACTTCCGTGAAGTCGTGCCACGCGACATCCTATCTCTTCTTTCTCTTTATCTCTTTTTCTTTCTCTATCTTCCTTCTTTTTTCCTTTTTTTTCTCCCTCTTTTTCGTTCAGAGGTAGAAAGCGCGTTTCTTTTTTCGGTTCGCTTTAGCTCGCGTTAATTCGTTCTCCCCTCTCTCTCTYTCTTTCGTCTTCACACGCGAACTGTGTTTTTCCTTTTTATCTTTCCTCTTAACTTCAAGACGTACGAACTTTGACACAAACACACACACATACACAACAAACGGATACGCGAAAAAACACATACACGTGTTTACTTGTCGATACAAAGTTTTATTATTTCTATTTCAAACTTTTATTTGTCCCCCTCCTCCCTTCCTCCCTCTCTCCGTCGTTTCCACCCCCTCCCTAGATAGAGATAAAAGTAAATTTAGCTTTGAAGCAATCCACGTTTGATGGAATACGGACTATCCAATAATCCGATGCCTTTGTCGGACAACTCTGACTGTCTTTCTGCTATTCCTTTTATTTTTTTATTTTTTTCTTTATCATCCCCTATCCCCCGTTTTTTTTCTCGTTTTTTTTTTTTTTTCGACGAAATTGAATCTTTCATGCGTTAAAGTGATGATACGATACGTATTCCTACGTAGATATTAAATAACATTAAGAACATATATCACGAAAGAGACCATTAGATTGCGTCTATACTATTAAATTGATAAAAGAATATTACTGAAAAAGAAATTCCTATTATATTAATACTATACTATATATATATCATTTTACTTTTCGTTCATACTTTTTGTTCTCGAATTTCCTTTGTGTCTCGTTTTATAGCAAACCCTGTCGCGTGACACGAAACTCGAGAAAACGATCTATCCAGTCAAGTCTCATCCTTCTTGTTTCTCTCTCACACTCTTTCTCTCTCTCTTTCTCTCTCTTGTCTTGTCTTCCACAACGTTTCCACCCTTTCAGCTCGCAACTACTGCGTCGTTTTTCCTCAAGCATCTCGTGCGGTCGCACCTTGGACTCGACGTTAAATCACTGGGCTGCTGGTAATCTTTATAGCTCGACGTGTAAGAGGGCAAATGACCTCTCGTCCGTTCTACCTATTTCAACATTCTTACTCCTCTCTCTCTCTCTCTCCTCCTCCTCTCTTCCTTTCTTTCTTTCGTTCTTTCAGATGGAAATAAATAGGAAAACGTGAGAGTGAGAGAGAAAGAAACGTTGAAAAGATGGAATAGAAGGTGGTGGGCGAAGTCAGCCGAAGGGAAACGTCAGCCAACAACGCTGGAAATAAAGCATTTCTGTGTGGGTAAAGGGGGGACGATGAGGTAGGGTAGGGTATGGAAAGGTAAGGGGAGGAGTGGGTATAATTTTCGCTCCTTCTGCACCCGTATTTCGTAGAAACAATGCACCCTGGGAACCGCAATCCTGGGTGCAACCGACCCAGAAAACACGACTGGGATTGTTGTACCACGATAGCTTGCTTGCTTGCTTGCTTGCTTGCCGTCGTTCCCCCCACCTCAACAATCCTCTTTCTCCCCGTTATTCGTCCATTCGACCGACCAACCGACAATTTCTATGTCCTTTCTATGTCTGTCTATAGTCTGGACTGTCTGTCTACCTATCTTTCTATCTTTGTATGTACCATCCAACTACTATGTATACTTTCAACGTGTCTGCCTATGATTACGGTACTGCAAATCCCGCAGGGTGTAAAAGAAGAAGCCTGTGGAGATGACTCCAGGGGAGAGGGGGGGGGGTGGCGGTAGGAGAGTTTGGGAAAATTATTCAGACGTCTGTGACTATTTACTCTATCTAAATTTCTACCGTTCTTTCGACAATGAAATATCTTTCAATTTAATTTATTATTGTTGTTTTATACTAAGCTTTATAACATTTCGGTATTATACAAAAATTCGGATGATATTCAATATTACGATGAATTTGACGAATTTACACATTTTTATTATAACTTTATTAGTTATAAAATCTTTCAGATTTTCGAATTTTWTYTTTYWTTTYTTTTTTTTTTTTWTWWGTCGTATCTAATTTATTGGATGTGCAAAAAAATCGTTTCGCTCTTCGCTTTAGCTTTGTATAATCTGAAGGGTATAGGGAGGTTGGATAGGATGAAAAGTAACGCAACGAAAAACGAAACGCATTTCCGCGTTTTCCTACTACTAGTAGCAGTAGTAGTAGTAGTAGTAGTAGTAGCAGTAGCAGTATGTGCTTTAGACGCGTTCAAAGGGTCGACATTTATTGCTTCCGCCTTACGTTTCTACATTGCCTTTAAGTAAATTGACAAGCCTGTCTAGCCTTGGAAATGCATACTACACCTGCACGCGCGTACCCGTAGTCACGGTATTCTTTAACAACGTCTCTCTTTCTCTCATCCCCTTTCTACTCCTTCACCCCTCCATTTTCTCTCCTATCGACTATTTACCTTCGTTGAATTTTTTTCCTTTTGGTTTTCTTGTTTTTTTTTATTTTTTTTATACATATCCCTGGCGTACGTATTGAGGATCAGACAGGGCTTTGTCGAACGTGAAACTCATTCTCGATGCGTAACGGCTTAAATAAATAACAGCAGTCTGACTAACGGAGAGTAGCAAATTCAGATAGTAGAACGTCTTGTTGATTGTTATGTCGCTTGCCATGTCGGATGAAACGTTACGGAATTGAGGAAAATTTCATTGGTACACTACAACAAGGTAGGAAAATCAATATTTGCCAGCTTATTTTTACCCCATGAATATTTATATATAATATATATATATATATATGTATAGGAGAATGTAATAAACTACAATCCATTCGTCTTGAGATTCCTTTAAATTAGTCATTCCTTTCTCCTGCCATCGTAATATCTTACAATAATAATAAAAATAATAATAATAATAATAATGGACTTAAAAGAATAATATCCAATAACTTAAAATTGATTTTTTTTAATTTTCAACGGTGATATTCCATTAGTATCGATTTTCTATTAATCGTTTAATTCATCAAGATTTTTCAAACTTTATTAAATATTTCTTTTTGTTTTTTGTTTTTATTATTTTGTTTATCCTATTTATTATAAATCGGGACAGACCAGCTAGGCGTAGTCCCTTCCGCGTTATTCTATATACCCGTACTAAATCAATAAGTTTTTGTTTTTTTTTCTTCATTTTTATCAATACCTTTCGCTTTTATTTTCTTTTATATACGTTTTCGCAATTCGATTGTCCTCTTCCTTATCCCCGGCCGTCCATTTTTCATAACCTTCGGCTGATTTCAATATATCCACACTCTCTTTCATTCCTTTTTATTTTCCATTCTATTCTATTTGTTTAAGTTACTTACAAAAATAACCAAACACAAAACGCGAACGCTTTTCACGTTTCGCAGGTTACCTAGTAGTTTCAGGATTTAAAAGACGAAATGACGGTTATGACAAACAACCGAGTAATTTTCTAAGGACGAAACGAAGGGTATAGGGTAGAAAGGTATGTAGGAAAGATGAATACAGCAGCAACCATTGCACTTGTTAGAAGAACCGCTTTTTCGGTATGCTAATGTCGCAATGGTGGGAGTTATGTTAGTGGTGGTGGTGGTGGTGCTGGTGGTGGTTCTGGTGGTGGTTCTGGTTTTGGTGGTAATGGTTGGGGGCATCGAATTTGCAACAAAAGGCAATTTCCACGGACTTCCAGTAGCTTTTGTCTTACGCTCGGATAGATATGCCTTTATGCTGAGGCGTATATAATACCTCTCTTTCTCCTTTCTTTATTCCCATTCCAATTGCCAAAGTTCCAGTTCCCACCAGTTCCCAGCTTTAGACCGTACTACCCCTAACCATTCCTCCCCCTCTCCTCCCTTTACCCCCTAACTCACTCACTCACTTACTATGCAACCACTTTCTATTCTTGTTTTCTCACCGAAAGACGCGGACAAATTTCCAAGCTGGGATATATAACTTGCGGAAAAAGCGTATACTTACGTATACAAAAAAGAAATAGGATAAGGAGAGTGAAAAATAGAAAGAGAGAGAGAGAGAGAAAGAAAGGAGAAAAAAAAAGACCATGTCAGGCAGACGAGCGTGGGTTGTGTTTTATTGTCGTTTGCATAGAATAAATATATGCGGAATCCCCTTACTCGGAGAGTCATCTGCTTAACCATAAAAACGATAAATAATCTTTATTGGCTGATCGATCGGTGCCAAGATGTACCACATAATTCATATGGAATCGTGATCACGCAAATGTTACAGATAATTTTTAGTAGTCAACAAAATGTAATCTGTATATGTTTGTTTCTATATCTTTTTATTTTTTTTTATTTTTTTGTCTTTTCTTTCATATACTCTTTTCATTCATTTTCTCTTTCTCTTTGTATTATTCATCTTTTGATTTTAATGTAGACAACGTTATAAATTATTTGTAAGTTTTCATTGAGGGTGATTATTCAAACGAGAAAATTATGTCGAACGAACCTTCTCATTTCATACGACTAATTGGAAAGCCATAGGAGTAACAATAGAATTTCATATTACAAATTTACGATTGTTAAATCTACAAATCTAATTAAACGATCGTTTGCTTTCAGGTCAAAAGCCTTCTTTAAGGATAATGTCGCTATAAAATTGGATACGGTTGAAACGGGTTGGCTGTTGGTTGGTAAGTAAATAATCTATGTTAATGGTTTATCTATGGTAATACGTTACATTTTTTTCCCATTAATATTATTATTATTATTATTATCATCATTTTCTCATTGTCTTATATATTATCTCAATTTCGTTCGAACAAAATTGTATCATTTATAAGACAGTCCGCTTTTTTGTTTTTCTTTTTTTGCTTTCTTTTCTCTTCCCCCCCCCTTCCTCCTTTTGGAAAATTTGTTTCCTTGTATTATTCCTCATACAAATCTCTCGATTATGCTACGAGTCTCCCCATTCGTCCCCCAACATGTATCATTGAATTAGTTATTTGCTTTAGAGACATCCTTATTTTGATCGTAGTATCTTTCCCTTTCACACATACACACACACACACACACAATATATATTTTTCTTGCCTTCGTAATTCTTGCAAAACCAATTCAACGGTACCCTTTTCCACGCATCACTTTTCTTCCATCCATGCTTCGTATTTCAGGAAAAAAGTTATTTTCTCTCTCTCTCTTTCTCTTTCTTTTTCTCTTTCCTTCCTTCCTTCCTTCCTTCCTTCCTTCTGGGTATTTCTCTCGGGCTTTGAAAAAAATCTACCACCCTCGTCACTCTCGACGCTTCTATATGATCGTAGAGGTTGGTTGGTTGGTTGGTTGGTTGGTTGGTCGGTCGGTTGGTCGATCGGTGGATAGACGGCCGAATAGAGAACGATAGAATAGCTTAGCATAAAAATCTATAAACGGGAGATGGAAGTGGGTGGTTGGTCGAAAAGGAAAAATCTATCCGTCCATCCGTCGTTTATAGAAAAATCCGTGGAAAAGTTTCCGGTGTCGCGTCGCGTCCATTTTCCCGTAAAAATATACGCGTCCGTCGGCTCGCTTCTTTCGACGTGAACGGGTGCTAAGGGGGATGGGGTGGCAGTGGGGGTGAGATAACATGGTCTCTCGCGAGCGTTCGCGCGCGCGCGCGCGCGCACATACGTAGCAACTCTCACGAACGTTGGAACATGGTCTTCTCATGAATTTCATAAAGTTTCATCCGTCCTGTACATTGGAAATTTCATGAGAGAAAGAGAGAGAGAGAGAGAGAGTTTCGCGTTAAAATTGGTGCCATTCTCCGTTCGCATAAGCGCCCCATATCCAAACGAAATCACACCCATTACAGCGATCCATCTATGTGTTTACCGTATTTTTGTTGTTGTTGTTATAAATTATGTGCATGTAAATATAATATACGATTATGACGTCATTTACTTGTACTCCTTTTAAGTATTCTCTATTTTTATCTAGTTAGTTCTTTTTCTTGTTTTTATCGTAACTATAAATCTTTTTAAGCTACTTGCATTCTTTCACAATCGAGCCCTTCAACTTTACGCAAAGTACACTCTTGAAAAAATAAAACCGAGATTGTATTCGGATGATCTATTCAATCAACTCACCTGGAGAAGACTCATAATAGAAATTTTGCTCGAAACTAGAATGAAGAGGGCTTCCCTCTCCTTTTCTCTTCTTCTCGTTTTTTCTTTTTATTTTGTTCTACTTTTATTTTCTTCTTTTTCTTCTTTTTCTTTGGATGGAAATAACGTACTGCAAAAATCCCCCATGGGCTAATACTCTGTTCCTTTTCAAATGATCGAAATACTGTGGATCATTTCTATTTCTCTTTCAGTTTTTTTTTTGTATTTTTTTTTTTTTTTTACTTTCCTTCTTCCCTTGAATCATAACCATAACGTGACCCAAAGTAACCCCCTTTAACGTTCTTTCTACCTTTCCTTTAAGATATAGAAAGCATCGTAGGAAGATCCCAATAAAATCAAACGAAGCTGAAACATCGTTGCTTAGCACGATACCTCCTGATTCACAATAACGAGTTCGGTAAAATTGAGCGAGAGACGGGACTTAAAGATCGTTTACGATCATCCTTATCGATTCTATGGGATTAGGTACTTATTTTTGCTTTAGCAATTTATTTAAGAACTCTTTACGGAACTGAGTTACAATATGTTTAGTATTTATCCGTGATGAGAATAGAAATATTTTCTAATCCGTGTTATACGATCTTTATGATCTTATCTATTTTTATTTTCATCTTTTATAATATTCTAAATATTTATTCATTGATACTGTGTACTTTTCAAAAAATATATCTTACAAATTGATTAAAGGATAAAAGAAATTTTCAGTTGTTGGAATTAATTCGAGCACAGAGCATGGTTGAATAATATAATTATTTCGAGGTAGTCGAATAGTATAACGAAATATCAAGTCTCCACGTTGATAACCCTGTAACCTCATAGAAAATTCATACCTTCCCGTTACAACAATAATGACCCGTCAGCCAGAGTCCGCTTACTGAATCATTCATGATGCTGACAGGGGTCAAGTCCGGCAAGTGTTCGTCAGCTGCAGTACGATTACAGTGCATTAGCCTTTCCTTCATCTTCCATTAGATTCTGTATTGCCTCTTGTGATCTTTGAATGATGTTCTCATTTCTTAGAAATTCACCTAACTTCAATCAAATTTATATCAATTTGTGAATAATGAATAATTAATACAAATTGATTTATTTTTGTCAAAAAAAAAAATAATAATAATAATAAGAATTATAATAATAGGATGTTGGGAAAAGGGTTAGGAGGACAAGAGAGAAGGGTTGAATTTTATTATTAAACTTTCAATTCGGTCACACTAAAGTTATTCTATTAATAAAGAAAATTTTAATTGGATCCCAAAAAATAGAAGATAAATATAATATATTTTGTAACAGTTCATCGTGTTCTATTATCTACGAAGAAAAAAATGTAAAAATATAATAGTTATAATTTTATAATGAAAATATGACATATTTCGAGGTAGGAAATCCTAATGGAATTTGTTTGGTCGTTACCTTTGATGACGATTTTCTGTGGTGACCGCAAATATAGATATCTTGGGAATACTTGACCGACTTTCCTGATCGGGCCTGTTGAACTTATCCGATCTGACGGATGAATGGATGATCTCTCTTCGACTTGATGTGGTCCGGTCAACCAATAATATCTTGCGAACCCTCTCGGACATGAGGAATCACCCTGAGGGAATCTTTGGAGATAACCGACGAAGTGGAAACGATGAGAGAGAGAGAGAGAGAGAGAGAGAGGTCAAGGAGTGGATGAATGTAATGAGTTAAAATGAACGTTCTGCACAAAGGAAATATTACGTTTCAGTAATTTCAACTTTTTACATTAACAATTTGTACTTACTTGAAAAAAAAAATAAATATAAAAAACATAATATTAATATAATTTTTTTTATAGCAGATAATAATTCGTGAACCGAAAAATTTCGTTTATTAAATCAAACCTCGAGTTGTTTTATAATACAATTTTTGCATTATTTTTGCTAAAAACTATATGAATTATTTTTGCTGAACTGAGATCCGGTCATTAAATTAATTATATTTAATTTTTTTTTTTTTTTTTAATTTAAACAGGATACTCTCTCAACGTCTTGTTCAATGGTATATTAAGAACAATAATTTCGAGAAGAACCAAAAGGTAGATGATCTGAAATTCTTTATGAAATTTTCACTTACGTTCAGTCTCGTTAACGTTACTAACTCTCTCTCTCTCTTTCTCTTTCTCTCTTACTCTTTGTTCGTTTTCGTATGCTCAGCATGATTACGTCTTCAGATTATACGTACATATTTTATCTAGATCATAAATGATTGATGCATCTACAGACTCGAGATTTGCAGGCGTGTGGGTATCGTTGTAAAGTTTGACGTGTTAAGAAAGGATATAGCAGGAGGCAAAGATGGAAGGATCGTCCCGTAAGGATTTAAGTGTTGAAGGTGCTAAGCTAACTCGTAATCGTCTTATTCCGTGTTAAATCTCTTTTTACCACACCTTTCCACTATCTTGGAGAAATAGAGAAGAAGATGTTATACACACATACACACATACATACACTATGTATATATATATAGTATTGTATAATATAACGAAAATACCGGCATGAGAATATGAGATGCAAGAACTATTGTTTCGTAGCTTTACTACTACGCTTCGTTTTCATGATTATGAGCTGTCAGTTTTAAGCGGCTTAAAATTCACACATTAAAAGCTATTTTAGTATCTTCGAGTCGACCACTAGCTTCTAACTCAACAACCAATTTTCCAAACCCCTCCTCCTCCTCCCTACCCCACCACTTGTGAAAAGAATCGTTTATACTTCATGAGATATCGCGTAGTTAAAAATAATCAGGTACTAGTCGTATTTCGAGTAATATCTTGAAATATTAAATTGTCATGATCGAAATTAGGTCGATTGTCAAAGTTTTACACAAAATCGAAATGTAGTAATTACGAAAACGGGATTAAACTTGTTATGTTTCTACTTCGAATAGAAAATATATGTGAGTATACGTGTTTCATTTTGCGATGTGACATGTTGGGTTATTGACTAACGGAGAATCGTGATCAAATCGGAGCAAACCTTAGCAACCTTGATAGTTTCGTATTCAGAGCACAATCGAAAACCGCAGCCCCATCGACGAGGGGATATGAATTCATTCGGATCGAAGAAGTCAAGGAGGATTCCAAATCGCCGATGGCAGGATTAAGTTTCCACATAACCCAAAATTGCAACGCAGCTTTCACTGTGCTACACAGTTAGCACGATGTTTGCTTGAGCCTATTATAGAGGCTCGTTTACCACAATTGTGACGACGATCCTTTTAGAATGATATTCGCCTCAGGGGAACAATCCTAATCTCGTCGAACGACATTCTGATTGACCACAAAGGTCAATCCTGGAATTATCATCATTAAATTATCTACAATGATTTTCTTGTTAAATTGTAACATTGAAAAATACATTTTCATTATATTATTATTTTTATATTGAAAGTATTACATGTGATATAGATATTAATAAAAAAATTGATTAAAGTGACGTTTACAATATGTTTGTATCGCTTCAATAACAACAAGCATGCATTTGAATATCTACAACGTACCCGACTGC